GGCTTTATTTGTAGATAATGAGGAGCAGGAACTGTCGGAACGTTCAAAAGATGATAAGGTTGTTGAATTTGACGTAGGTGAATTGAACTTTTATCAGTACAATACGGTGAGTACTGCATGCAAAATGTCGCAATTCTCGAAAGACTGGTAACCACCCACAAAAAACATTAAGTAGGGTTGCAATACTGATGATCGTGCAATAAAATATAAAGTCTTTTTAGTCACGCCTGGATGCCGGCTCTTTAATGAGCTTCCTTCTGACCGCTTACAGAAAGCAAATTCTGGCAAAAAAAGGCTACTTAACTAGCATTCATTTTTATCACGGATTCTGTCAACCTTTATAAATTCAAATATACTTTATAGAAACCATGCATGGAAATATTCTCTCATGTACTCGTTTGGTAGCAAATTTCCCCATTCTTGAACTGTTATGCTTAGATAAATTGCAGATTTCGGTTTAAGAAAATTTCCAGTTATGAAATATTTTACAATTGTAAGATGTTCATTCATAATACGTTGTATCCGTCAATTCATTAAGGCTGCCTATAATGCATGCAGCATGATCCACATCCATTGAAAAAAATCATGAGAACTAAGCGACCTCTTCTTCAACCCGTAGGCAACAACTTTTTTTCGTAAACAGAATGTAAACAGCATGCTGTTTGGAAACCTTGAATTCAGTTGTAGCAGTCAGTAAATTTCAAAATTATTCGGCAATGTAGAAAATTCTTTAAAACCGAAAAATACCCATTCTTTAAGCATAACATTTAAAGCAGGCATAATTTGCTACCAAACGAGTACAGGAAAGGTTATTTTCGTGCATGTTTTCTATAAAGTATATTTGAATTTATAACGGCAATTGGAAACCGTGATAAAATGCATACTACTTAAGTAGCCATTTTTTACAAAGTCTACTTTCTCTAAGCGGACAGAAGGAAGCTCATCAAAGAGCTGGCATCCTGGCGTGACTAAGAAGACTTGAGATTATATTGCACAATAATCAGTATTGCAACCGTACTTAATGTTTGTTTGCGAGTGGTTACCAGTCTTTCGCAAATTGCGGCATTCTGCTTGCAGCATTCGCCATACTTTAAAGCGCTCGCATGTGCGCTCCTAGCGTAGCTAGTCATTTAGGCGAAGTTCCCGCTCTGAAGATGGGAGAAAACGGAAAGTCAGTGCACTTGCTGGTAGACTGAGGACCGAGGGAGCACGACCCAAGCGGTTTGCGCTTCGCAGAAGACTACGCTCTTCCATCGAGTCCGCCCTACACTCTCTTCATAATCACACAGAGATCACGCTAGTATCTTCGGCTGTATGCACATAAGTGAGAGTAGTCCGTAGGTG